TGAAAATTAGGGTTTTACGACTTGGTCGTCTCCACGTCGTGGCCAACATACCACCACATCGCGGGGACCCAAATGAATGCGTGTTTACCTCGGCCACCGCCATGTCATGGCACTAACATTGCCATGTCGTGGCCAATCAAAATTCCATCCTTAGGCTTTTAAAACCATAACAACAAAAAAGAAGTATATACCTAGAATTTGGTGTTACAAATATAAAGAAATGAGTAAAAAAATAAAAAAGAAAATAGATAGGGTAAGGTAGTCTTTTAATATGGATGGAGGGACCATTGGATTAGTTTCTCCAAACCATAGAGATATAACCTATCAAATTTCAACTTGCGGACCAAAACTGCAAATTTGATCAAACCACAAGGACCAAAACTATAATTTACTCTTATAGTTATGTAAATGTCGCTCTTTTCACCAAATTTACAAATGACTATTTCTCCAAGATTATTATTTGAGATAAAGAGTTGATTTGATTTTTAAATCTGGTAAATTATAATAATTTTTTTATGCATGAACCTTAATCTAATATCATCTCTTAAATAGTATGTCTCTTTAGGTCGATCACATACTCAATTTGTTCCCGAAAACGGACTACTCTGGTCTGTGACTCCGAGTGTCCAAAAAAATAGTTGGGTGCAATCATTGGTGGAAACAAATGATTTCTCACTTGCGTATGTCATATTCTATTTTGACAAGTACACTCTTCTTGTTGGTAATAATTCTACCTATTGGAACAAGTTATTCCATATAAAGGTCATTGGCTCTATGTGGAGAATGTTGTTAAACAAGTTACCCTTTAAAAGAGGATTGGACATTCCTTTTATGCCCTATTTTTTTTATTGGATTGATCCAGTCAACCATTTGTTTTTCTCTTGTGATTTGGTGGTCTCGGTTTGGAAGTAATTTGACATTTGGTCGGGATGGACATATTTTATCTTGGTTCTTTTTATTAAAAAAAAATAAGAGGGGTGGCCCCTCCGATCAAGAAAAAAAGAGGAAACAAAAACAGTCAAAACATTCGGAAGGAAGCTAAATAGAAGCAACCTTCAGAAGAGGTGTGTCATGAGGCGAACACCATAAAGAAAAGGGAAGATGAAGAAAAGAGAGATGGGAAGAGAACCTCCCTTTTAAGGGAGATATCAAATCATTTTAGCTATGAAGATGTTTGAGGAGGGCTAATTAATGGAAAGACTTAGGAGTCTATAACGAACGCCATTAATGACAAATTTAACCATAAGATGTATAACATGTTGTTTCCTGTCATTTCTTATTTCAGGGCCATGGGCCGGAAGTCGATTGTGTAAAGGCTTTGGGCCTTAAGGAGGTAATGTTTAGACCTTTTGGAAGGAGGCAATGATGGTTGCGAGATCTTAACCTTTGAATTACATTTTGGGCCGAATGGTAGAAAAGAAAAAGTCATAGGTCGGGGTCTTGCATGAAATATGGATTTTTGTTCAAGAACTTTTTAGTCCAAGATATCTATATAATATTGTGGGTCTCTTCAATACCTTTCCATGTATATAAAGATCGTCAAAAAAGGAGTTGGAATGAAGAAGTTATGATTGTTAGAAGTTAGGAGGGTTTTGAGTTTAGCCTAGTACGTTGGGCGTACAGGGTGTACGTTGGGCGTACTAGGCAACGATGATCGCGAAGATTCAACCTGGTATGCTGGGCGTACCAGGAGTGCGCTGCGCGTATGCAATCAGAACCTAAACCCTAATTTCGGGGTTTTGAGCCCTATTTAAGCTCCTTAACTTCCCCAAACCCTTTCCATTCTCAGTCTCCACCTCTCCAACGTCCTCCCTTGAAACCCTAACCCTAGTTTGAGCCTTGTGAGAAAAAGAAGGTGTTTTTAAGTGCTTTGGAGTGTTCTTGGTGCATCTTGGAGAAGAAGGATCTCATTGGAGAAGTGTTGGTTGCATTGGAGCTTGTAGATCCAGACCTTGTTCACCTTGATCTTTCTTCTAGAGGTATAAGCTTGAATCTTGATAATGCATTTATGAGATCAAACTAGTTTTGGGTGTTATGAGCTTTTGGTCAATTTAGTGCATAAAGTTTAGATCTTGAAAGTTTGTGACCTTGTTATGGATAAATTTGAAAACTTTATCCATCTAAACATCATAGTGATTCAGATATGAAGGTTGGAGAGTTGGACTTAAGGATTAAGTTAAGAGAGATTCACTTTTGGTCCCTTTGAGACTTAAAGACTAGATCTTGGTTGTTCGGATAATCCTAATGGATAAAGTTGGAAACTTTATCCATTATGGAGCTATTAGGAACCATAAAAATGTGATCTTGGTCCTTCTCTCCTATCCATGAAAGTGTTATGATGTCTTAATGGATTGATAAGTTAGGGTTTTAGATTTTGGACCTTTTCTAGCCATGGAAAGTCATAAAGGTGGAAACTTTTATGACTTAAGTCGATGTTCTGAGTCTAGATCTGAGCTCTGGACAAAAGTCCTTAATGGATAAAGTGCTTAATGGAGGAGTGAGGACAAGCCATGTATATTGGGTGTACGTTGAGTACGTTGGGCGTACTTAGCAGCCTTGTACTTTGACTTTTGTTGACTTCCCTTGACCATTGACTTTTTGACCAAGTTTGACTTTGGGTCAAACTTGAGGGTTTTGGACTATTGATTAAGGTTTTACATGGTTGTGATGATTAGCGGATTCGCGGGAGAAAGAAGTGTAGAAGGGAGCGTATCGTTGTGTTTCAAGGTTCTTCGATTCAGGTGAGTTTTGCCGCATTGTACTCGTGGGTCGAAGGCACCAAGGTCGGCCCACTAGTTATAGTTATCTTTTAGTGGATGGATGCCATAGGGACTGTATATATTGTCATGTAGGATAGACTGAGGACTCTTGATCTAGGCTTTTTTGCTTGTTTCTTGTTTGGTTGTGGCTCTAGAGTAGGTTCACTTGTCTGTGTGTCTATCTCACCCCTGAGTATATACGGTTATGCATTCCTTGGATTGTTGGAATTTAGTATGTTACGATGTTGTAGTGATATGTTAGATTTGTATCCTTGTATATAGGATGTTGCTATGATGTAGTGATCTGTTAGATTTGTATCCTGGTATATAGGATGTTGTTGTGCTATAGTGATCTGCTAGATCTATGTATATATCCTTATATGATAGGATAATGTAGTAGTGGTATACTGGTTATCATCTAGTGGAGTTCCCTAGGGGATGTATGTAGTCATGTAGGATAGCCTGAGAACTCTTGATATCGACTTTCTTGCTTGTTCCTTGTTTGGTTGTAGCTCTAGAGTAGGATCATTTGTTTGGGTGGCTATCTCACCTCTGGTTACTTATGGTTATGCATTTCATGGAGGTTGGTTGGTAGTGGGACAGTGTGTAGTAAGAGGACTAGTAGACGGTAGTGAGTTGTATGATTGATGTTTGCCTATATTATGTGCCTACTTGATCCTTGGTTGTTTATATGTCGACATATGGTGGTAGTGGGTTGAGGCGGTTCTGCTTTGTGATGTAGGCCAAGATATCTGGTGCGGGCCGGCTGTAAGCCGTAGGCACGGAGGCTCGGGAAAAGCAGTTGGGTTGAGGCGGTAGGCCAACAAACCCAGGGTATTCCAGCCTGATGGCTGATTAGACCCGTTGCAAGTTGGCATTCTAGTTCATGGACTGATTGGGCCTGTGTCATTCCAATCTGATGATTGTGGGCCGTTATGCATGCTTGTATGTTTATCGTATGGAGTATTTTTGGGGAAAATCACTAAGCTTTGTGCTTACCCAATTGTTTATTGTTTAAGGTATCATCAGTTATCATGGGAAGGCGAAGACGTGACTGTACATGTGATACCCCATAATTTAGGTCAAAAATTGTGAATGGTCAAGTTCACAGTAAACCTCTTGGTAATTTTACTCATTGAATTTTAGTGCATCTTATGTGAAATAAATGAGTTCATTTCAACTATTATAAGATACCAGATGATATCTTACTTCCAAATATGTAATCTGACAAACAAACCAAACAACTCAAACTGCAACCCTAGAAATGCGTTTGAAAAACTGAAATTTCGTACTAAGTAGTTGTGAGAAAAAAAATACTCTAGTGTCATAGTACATGTTTCCCTATTTCCGAAAATATAAAGAACGTCCGAAACGAAGTTTGTATGCAAAAGATACAACCGTTTTAAGAATCCAAAACCAATATAATACTGATTTTTTCTTAAAATCGCTAAAACCGTTTATATCTGTTGAGGGACTTGCACACCTCAAATGGAAATTTCGAAAGCATTTTTGGACTCAGGCTATAGCCTAATATTTAATTTCATATTTGAAATATTATTAGTAAAAATATTTACAAAAGTTGAAAAGCGGACGTTTTCAGATTTATAAACCGTGAAACCTTAAACTATTGATTTCGACATAATTTCTATTATTGGTAATGTATGCCGGAAAAATATAGGAATCCAAACCGGATGTTATGGATTTTAACGATGCAAATAGCCCAACACTCATAAATTCGTGAACGACTATATATATGTATGTATATACAGGTATTGGACATGTGTCATGATCAATCACATGTGGTTCGTTAAATTTTCATAAATATACATTATATATGTGTCAATTTTAAATTTAAGAGACCAAATTTTAACAATTTAACAATTTTACATTTCCTAACGTATGAGTTTATATATATATATATATATATATATATATATATATATATATATATTACACAAATTTATGTAACAAACTCATAACAAATAAAAACATATTACATTTATCAAGAAATGGTTTGTAAAAGTCTTAAATATAAATACATATATAAATGGAAAACAACCAATAATACATACAATGTAAAGAATCTAGTACATAAAATACATACCCAATGAAATAAATACATCAATACATACCCAATGAAATCAATACATCAATACGCATAAAATACAAACTTATTCACTAACAAATTGATTGCAATTTAAAACCAAAACACATATCTTAAATTGATAGTCAAATTTAAGATATTACCTCCACAATACAACTTACCCAAGCTAACACACAAACAAAGGGAAAATGATTTTTGCTTCTACAATTCAATAAAAGTACAAAAAAATTAACAAAATTGACAGCCAAATAACATTTCTTCCACATTTAAATTTAAACATATTACACACAAAAGAAACGTGTTTGTAATTCTTTTCTCAGTGGAAGCTGAAACCAAGAGACCAACAACCCTATCTTTCCTTCATCTTGTTCGTTTGCTACCATGAACACACGCTGAAGTGTGTGTTTTTCTCCATAATTCTTGCTCTCGGCTAGGCAAACACCACAGGAGAAAGAACTGTTTCCCGGCCAAATCACAGGGCAACAGCCCCGATTGTGCTCCTGCTGCCCTGTCAAATGAAACAAAACCAAACACCTTTTTACCCTCCATCGATTTCTATCAAAATAAAATCAAAAGAGAAAACTGGAAGCAACAGGGAGGCTGCCGGAGCAGCCCCCATCCACTTACCTGCTACCGATCGGAGCAAAACACCTTTCGCACTTTCCTTTCCCTCTCAGCAACCCAATCGGTCGCTACTGCATATCTCCTATCGGACCCCTCTTCTGATCTCCTTCCCCTCGCAACCTCTTAGCCACACCGAACCCATCTTCTGGACTCACCCTCACTTCTTTCTCTCCCGTTCCTATCGATCAAAGACCTCCGAAGGTCTCGACTTCGTCGCTCTGCTGCTCGCGACACTCCAGTGGACCCTTCCTTTCCTTCAGTCTCGTCGACCCGGAGACTCCTCCCTCTTCGCGAATCGACCGACGAAGCGCCGCCTGCGAGCTTCTCCTTCCTTCGGTCTTCTTCGTGACCTGCGACGAGCAAGGATCCGGATGCAGAGCCGCCACCTTCGTGTTTCCTTCTTCTGATTTCGTTCCCGTATTCCTTCTTCTTTGCTCGACAGGCGGACTATCGGAAGCGTTCGTTTTTGGCTTGCCTTCGATCCGCTCTTTTCCTTTCCCGATCAACGAAACGGGGGCTTAAAAGCCCTAATTTCATTTAGCTTGTGAAATGACCAAACTAACCTCCTTATTAAATCATGTATTCAAAATCAATCCCAACCCTAAACATTGAACCCATTTATTCAAAAATAGCCCCTCCCATGGAGTTTCTTAACAAAATCAATCAAATTCACAAACTTAAATTTATTTGAACCATTTCAGTCCCTCCCTTTAATTATTTTAACCAAAGCAGTCTTACTTTGGTTAATTAAATTACCAAACAGCCCCCAATAGTTTAAACTCGTTACGAAACGGTCCCATAAATATTTCAAAGTTTAAGGTATGTGACTTTGCGGTTCTCATGTCAAGCTTCCCAAAAATAAACGATTTCAAACAAATGGAACTTACGCTTCAAGGGTGAGTGCTTACGGCCCCTTTTTAATATTTTTAATTAAGTTAGGGCTGAGAGCTATTCACATAATTTTTAGTTAATGTCTTTTTAGTGAGACTATATTCATTAGCTGAGTCTAAACACTTAGCATACCCACACTACTATAAACGTTAATCTTCAGAGCGAGATACATATGTATAGATCTATACGAGTTTGACATCCCCACCTGCGGTTGCTAGCTACAACCTCGACCGATCAATCGAAGCGGGTGATAAGTGTCTATAATTGTCACTACACCGTCCATTGAAGCATTGTAGGGGGGGGGGGTAAATTCAGTCACATTGCTCAGTTATAGGATCCACTATAAACATTAACTGGAATCTCTCTCTCTCTCTCTCTCTCACACACACACACACACACACTACAGACCATGAGATTGGTTGCTTTCAAAACTATTTTAAGTATGGAATTACTTATGTAACAGTACAATTTGGTTTTCAAGTATATTCAAGGATTCTTTACAAACACGGTTTTAAGGATGAATTTACTTATACAAAGATATATTTTGGCTTTCAAAGGCTCTTTACAAACACAATTTTAAGTATTGTTAAATTTACAAGAAATAATTTTTAGACTTTTTAAAAGTATTACTGCTGTTAGCAGAAAACCTGTAACTCTCACCAACCTTGTGTTGACCCTCAAAACTACATGTATTCTCAGGAAATCACTAAACAGACATTCAAGACGGATTGGATTACATGCGACCTAGTTTACTTGCTATTGTATTATATATCTTTCTGTTAAGGCAATTAATGTCTTATTATTATTATTATTATCTGTAAAAACACTGTATTCAAATATCAAGATGGAACATGAATGCTGTATTGTTTATTGTTGTACTTGTGCTACATATTTAGTTTACCTGTGATCCATAAACTTAGTCACATGCGACCTAGTTTACTTGCTATTGTATTATATTATTTGTAAAAACACTCGGCCGGGGGTGTGACAGTACACATTGATCAGTAGCAATGAAGATTCTATACTTTAATATTACTCTGATTTTCAATAAATGTATGTTGGAATAAACGGTTTTCTTAATAATTGATTTATAATGGGATAGTTTTACTCTAATAAAAATGCAAAATTTTAGTTGTGAAAATGGAACGTTACATCATCATATGAATTTCTCTTATTTTTTCAATTTTGGTTGTTTCTTTCTTGCCAAATGTGGTAAACAACTCCAACAGGAATAAGTTTGTGGATAATGGGCTAAATGGCTTTATCTTTAGAAACGGGCTTGAGGAAATTGATAATTTGATGGTATCAGACAAGGGTAACGCGTAGAGTGGGGGGTATTCATCATATGTTGTGTCTTGGTTCTTTTGCTAATTGGAGCTCATGGTTTACTGCTTTGCACTTACTCTCGTTGGTTAAGGTCTTTTTAGAAGCTTCTTGTTTCACACTTCGGTAGTTACTTTGGTTGTTTCAGAATAATAGCTTTTTGGTATTAATAAACCCAAAGAATGCAGATAGGTTTGTGACCCAATCATTCACTTGGGTGTGCAGTAGATATATAAAATGTCTTATTAATTGGGTTGGTTGGATTAAGATCCGATTCTTGTAACTCCACGATGTAATCTCTTTGTTTTTTAGCCTAGCTCCTTGCTAACGTACTAAAATTTATGTTGTAAAAAAGGATACTAAATTTGTTACCACACAACTTCAACTAGATGACATCTTTACGAAAAGACCTTTATGACCTCTTTTAAAGTTGTATGTGTCAAGCCTCATATTGGTCCAGTAATTAGCTTGAAATGGGTAATAGACTATTAGTATTGGTCGAGTACTTAACTTGAAAATGATATTAGAGATAAAATTCTATTCGATTTGATTTTTTAGATCATTGTAAAATGAGGATAATTTGTTATACATTATCCTTGCATGTATATCTTATGTGGTATATGTACCCATTAATGTAAATCATTCTATTCAAGAATAATCCTCATAATTATACTAAATTATGTGGGAAAATTAAAATTATCAAATTGCTACTGATATCAATAGTTGTCGGGGATCCATATGTAGAGATGAAGTTCTTAAAATATGCTTTGCTTTAAGGGTCATATTGCTCTCTGCTCCTTCACATTCTTAGAAATATTTTTTTAGCCCTCTAAATTATTTATTCTGTACATGGTCCTAGATGACCCAGAACCTTCAAATTTGTAGAGTCCAATTTTTTATGTATCTACTTATATTATGATATGAAAAAAAAACTTTTGGAATTAAGTCGCCGTAGACAACGGCAAAAAAAAAAAAGAAAAACAAGATTAGAGCCAAAATTGATGTAAAAGACGAAGAAAATTCAACAAATTCTTCAAGCATCTAAGCAATTAATCATTATTTTGTTTAAAAAAATATTGTTAAGTGCATCATTTTTCTATTTTGTCCGGAACCTCAAATCGGATTGAATCGGCCATGATTTTGTAACATTGCTTCCAGTACGGTGGAAAATCAGACATTTATGTCGTGTTTTTTTTGGCACGACACAACACGACAAAGTTTTACGGAATACGAAGACGCCATAAGACAATGTTGTGTTTTTTTAACTAACACGAAAAAGAACCAGTTAAAAAACGACAAACACGACATGATAAAAATAACATAAAATAATAATTATTTTATTTAATTAATACTTAATCAGCATAATTATACTAAATTCTATTCAATGTGAAAATAATAATCCTCATAATTATACTAAATTCTGTGGGAAAATTAAAAATGATCAAATTGCTACGGATATCAATAGTTGTTGGGGATCCATATGGAGAGATGAAGTTCTTAAAATATGCTTTGCTTTCACATTTTTAGAAATATTCTTTTTAGCCCTCTAAATTATTTATTATGTACATGGTCATATCACTCGCAGTACTAGCGATGACCGAAAACTTCCAAATTTCTCGGGTCCATTTTTTTTAAGTATCTACTTATATTATTATATGAAAAAAAAAGTCTTTGGAATTAAGTCGTCGCAGACAACCGCAAAAAAAAAATTACAAATTTAGCCAAATATATTAATTATTTTGTGGAAAGTAGCAAAAAAAAACCAAATTACAAAATTAGCCCTTAAAATCGCAGATGGGTTAAGCCCATCTGCGATTTTAGTGGCTAAAAATGTAATTTTGTTTTTTTTTTGCTATTTTCCACAAAATAATTAGTGTATTTGGCTAAATTTGCAATTTTCTCAAAAAAAAAAAAACAAGATTAGAGCCAAAAATTGATGTTAAAGACGAAGAAAATTCAACCAATTTTTCAAGCATCTAAGCAATTAATTAGTATTTTATTTAAAAAATATTGTTAAGTGCATAATTTTTCTATTTTGCCCGAAATCTCAAATCGTCCGTGATTTTGTAACATAGCTTCCAGTAGGGTGGAAAATCAGACATTTGTGTCGTTTTTTTTTTCTTTTTTGATGTGAAACAACACGATAAAGCTTTATGGCACACGAACACGCCATAACACAATGTTGTGTTTTTTTTAATTAACACGAAAAAGAACCAATTAAAAAACGACAAAACATGACACGACAAAGATAACATAAAATAATAGTTAGTTTAATTAATTAATACTTAATCATATATAACACGACAAACACGAAAAACACGACAAAAAAATACTAAATCGTGTCAATTTTGTGTTAAATTTTGAACACAAACATGATACGACATCGTGTTTTTTACGATTGACACAAACACGAATTCAAATTTTAGTTTCGTTCTAATTTTGTTTTGGTGTTGTATATTTTTGTCGTGTGGTATCATCAATTGTCACTCCAACCCTCCAACCATGAAGTCCACAAGTAGCATCAAACATATGCTAAACATGCTTAGCGTTTATAATATTGAAAATAAAATTTTAAACAAAATTCTAAAGTTACAAAAATGCAAGATATACATAATGATACTTATTAACTTTAAAATCTCGAAAAAAAAAACCTATTTATTGCGTAATGAATGCTTAGTATTTCACTCTCTCGAATCATGTATATCCATAAGCAAAACAAACTCTAAAAATGTCATCATTGTAATATTTGGACAAGTACAGGGGTGTGAATCGCAAAATTACCATAGTTTTTAAGCGCACTTGCATGCATTTAAGCCCCTAACTTCCCTATCAACATGACCAAGCAGAGGAGAGCGTGGGTGCATTCCTCTAATAGTTCAGCCTCAGGCGAATAAAGTGGGCTCACATTTTCTCTCGATCTTTCCCTATTCAGGTCACTTTTCAATCAATTTTGATTTAATTTCATCATGCTTTCAATCAATTTCATGTTTGATCGACAATTTCGTTAATTCCGATTGTGATTATCACTTCGTTGTTATAAATTTAAATAAACAGTTGTGGAAAATTCAAATGCAATTTCACTCGTATCAATTTTGTTTATTCATTTCTACAGTTGTTTGTCTCTGTTGCAAAATTCAATCTGATCTCAAGAGATGCTTAAGATCCCAGAACATCAAGTCGCCGGACACCATGCTAGTAATGGAACCCTTGGCCCTCTCATTGACGATTCCGGTCGTTTTTACAAGCCTCTCCAAGGCGATGAACGTGGGTCAGCTGAAGCAGCCTTCTATAAACAATTTTCTTCAAACACACAAATCCCAGATCATATTCGCAAATTCTTCCCCATCTTCTATGGCATTCAAGTCATGACTGCATCCGATGGATCTGAACACCCTCACATCGTGTTACAAGATCTTACTTCCTCACGCCTGAATCCCACCATCATGGACATCAAAATCGGGTCAAGAACCTTCGGGCATGAAGCTTCAGATGCCTACATTGCAAAGTGCTTGAAAAGAGATCGCGAGACCACTAGTCTTCAATTAGGGTTCAGGATATCCGGTTTGCAAGTTTACATTAATGATGAATCCGGGTTCTATAAGCCTCCTAGAGATGATGTCCTGAAAAGTGGTTTAGACGACGTTAGATTTCTTTTTAGGAGATTTGTGTCGTCTAATCTAGCTCCAGCTGCAGTCCCACAAGAGCTAGAAGCGAACGCTGCTTTAGCGTCCAACGTCTATGGTGGGACTGATGGGATTTTGGCTCAGTTGTTGGAGCTCAAGGCGTGGTTTGAAGATCAAACCATGTACCATTTTTGTGCTTGTTCGCTTCTTTTTGTATTTGAGAAGCGGTTGGCGTTAGAAGGCGTGAGGCCAAACGCTCAAGTCAAGATTATTGATTTTGCACATGTTACGGAGGGTAAAGGTGTGATTGATCATAACTTTTTGGGTGGATTATGCTCTTTGATAAAGTTCATATCGGAAGTGCTTGGAGATCGTGAAGAACATAAAACTGATCAGGAAGGAGATAGCTAGACAAGAATAAGACGTCATTGACTATAGTTAATGGTTAGGATGAATCGAATAAAGACTAGATAGGGATCGATTTGAGTTGTATTTTATTTATACTTGATCAACACGTAAAATCAAAAGATTAAGTTAAAAAAAATTGAAACTCATACGTAAGTGTATTTTTGATACATACAAACTAAATCATTTTAATAAAAAGTTAGATTATATATATATATATATATATATATATATATATATATATATATATATATATATATATATATATATATATTAAAGATGTGAAAAAAAGTAACAGTAAACCTGTTGGTATTTTTGACATATTTGGTCCATTTATTTCCTCTATTTCATAATTGGTCCAGCTCTTTATTAATATTACAATTTCGTCCTTCATGGGCAGTGTCGGAGCGTAGGCAAACCAGCTCTTCTTGGGCTGGCTGTTTTGGAGCCGATGGGTCAGCGGCTGGTTGATGGTGGCTGATTTCTTTCTTTGGCTGCTGAATGGCACTGTCATCGGCTTGATTTATACGTGTTATTTCCTCAGTGAACTCACCGCCTATACACAATTTTTTTTGTTCCAGATCCCTCCACCGCTTAATACACGACGCTTCTTCTCTACTTTTGTTCTTCATCTCCGGCTTTATAGATTCGGGGTTGTCACCGCCAAAGCTTCCGGTTCACGCCTTCCACATCTATCGCTGTTCCTTTTTAAAGAAACAGACGATGCTTTCTCGACCGCCTCCTCTACCTGTGTAATGTTAGAACCGACGATCCCATCGTCGATGAAGTCAATCTCGCAAATCAAGTTTTTCTCATTGTTAATCAGCACCTGCTCCACCGCGTGTACACCGTCTCTGGTACCCATCGATGCAGACGACACCATCTCTTTACCTCCACCGCCTCACATGGCTTTCGATTGTAGATCATTTATGAAGACACACAGGGCGAAAATCGATTCCCCGGGAGTTGTTGATGTTCCTCCGGTATACAGGTAAGCCCTATTTTTCGTTTTCAGAATCTTTTTTTTTTCAGCTTCTGGATCTGGAAACGGAAGGTATTTCATCAGCCATGCCCATAAAAATTTCATCAGATTCAAAGCTCAAGAGAAATGAAAACACATATCAAATCTGTTTTGTATGCCCAATCAGTCGACATTCATCTTTCTCCTGCAATCTTGAATCTTTCTTCAATTTTTGGTGACTCTTCAACATGAAGCTGCCCCCGCTTCCGGGTTTTTTCGTTTTCTTTGTCGGCATCGACACAGGTGCAAAACATGTTCTTCATTCCGTTCCTTTTCAGATTCTTTCTTCATTTCACGTTCTAGAAGTTCCAATAAGCAAGACGGAGGGGAGGTCGTCAGATTTGTTTCAACTCAATTTCCGCAGACTTCTCTAAGATTTTCTAGGTAAGTTTGGTGTCGACAACAATTAATCATCTTTGTGTGGCTAAGCCCTAATTTTCGACATTTTTCATGTTTACAATAGTTGATTCTAATGTACTTTGTGTTTTTACATGATGCAGAGTATCCATGTATTAGAAAAGTGGGAAAAAGGACACATACCCATCTTCCAAAACAAAAATGGTGAAGATCATGTACTGAATCATAAGACAATATTGAAGTGGACTACAAAGGTTAAATTGTTTCACATCAAGCTAAAGGAATGAGGAGTACAAAATTCCCTATATTCTATAAACGTGTAGGCTTTTTAATTGCAAACACAATTGCTACAGATGATGTAGAAGTTTGTCAATCAGGCAAAGGCACTATTCTATCAACATTCTATTACGGTTATGCTTTTTCTCAGGTCCTGGTGGGTGGGCTACAAAAAAGATTGTGGGAAGGCGTTCCTTTTTCATTTGGGATATGATCTTTAACATGTGAATTATGTCCATCAGATACAAATACGGTAATCTGTCAGACACTTTACTATTTTTAGTTACCAAAAACTCTATTTTCTCACTTCCTAAATTTTTATTTATTGTCAAATGACTTTTCTATCCATGACAACAGAACTTGAAATCACTGTTTTCGTTGTAGGTTGTATGAATCTCTTTCTATATATAATCTCTTAACCATCTTAATAATTATCTAAAATATGTAACTTTTTTCTTATTATGGTATAAAAAGACTGAAATGCCCCTAATACAATTTTATTTTTTGGTCCCTGTGTGTACGTGTGCACATTTCTTTAATACCACACAATGTATTTTCGATTGCAATATCATATGCCACATGTTTAAGATGTTAAACTTGCGATTTAAATTTTTTTTGGTCTAATGAGCATGTATTGTCCTGAATCTGTACTATTTCCCCTAATCTTTGTTGGTTGACAGTTAGAACCGAAGAGGATTTCATCATCACCACTCACCACCCGATACACTGCATCGCCCTTGATGTTGTAATGAGATTTGAAGGAGAGTTTGACTATGCACCCCAACTGGTCGATGAAATGCTTGAACTAGGGTATGTTGATTTTCAACCAAACTAACTATTATATAAAATCTTTGATGCATAAGATTTTCATCTGATTGAATCTATTTTGGTCTAATTATATATGGTGTTAGTGGGAAATGGGTGTTGGCCTCAGAACTACAACGATTCAAATATCAACAAGCTCAGTAAGCATCTTCGTTACTGAAATATTGCTTTACTCGATTGATATGCAATTATTTGCTATTGCTTAATTGGTACATGTTCAAATTGTTGATATTTTTGCAGTTGTTTTTGTGTTTGATACCTCTATTGTGTTGTGTCGAATTTCGGAAATAGGTCAACAAAGAGAACGGAGGAATCTATACAAACCATTCTTCTCCAACTACTATAGGTATAATTTATTTTGTATTATTTGTAAATTTTAGCAGTTTTTAACAATTTAAGCAATACATTTTCAATGGAGTGGTATACTTGAACTAAAAATTAAGTAAACAATTTGTGATCATTAGAATTTCATCTTTGAAATTAATTGGCAGGCACCACACTGCTTCCAATTGGATTCAATGTTAACAACCCCTCAATCATCTCTGGCCAGTTTATTGCTTACCCATAAAGTTTAATCTTTATTCATGAAAATTCAGATTGTCTTTTCTTCTTTCTGATTCTACTTTGTGTCTGTCTATCTTTGAATCTAACGTCTCTACATCTACTACATATGTTTTTTGCTATTCTCTTTTGGGTATGTCAACAGTTTTCATTAATTTTGTGTTATCCGATGATCATTGTTGATGGTGTATCAATTGATCACATCTTTGTTTATCATGATGTTCCTTGGTTTTCATACGAGTTAATTGTTGTTGAGGATACTTGCTTTGAAAGTTTAATGGTATGATGGATTGATCTATGAAGAGGATGTAGGATATCAATTTCTATTTTTTTAATATATTAAAGTCTTATACCAAATACTTTATCAGTTATAAATGAGATTTGACTTCTCACACTGCAAATTAATAATGCAGTGAACTGATTAGCAGCTGAAATCTCACGGCTGCAAAGAATGATGATGCTGATCAGGAGGTTAATGTATAACATCTAACTGAGAATGGTGTTGAAGTTGAAGTATAAATAAGAATATTAAATAATAAAAGAATGATTGCAAATTCAACAACATTAATGTTAACTGAGTATGGTGCTGAAGTTGAAGTATCTCTCCTCTGAAGTTGTGGAATTTTTTTAGTTAGCAAAAAGAACTATAAAAAACCATAGTTGTTGGTTAAAAGATAGAACTGAGTTTGAATGTTTTTCTACAGAAGGACCAATTATGTAAACATTTTTTGCAGCAAAGACCATTTTGTAATGTTTTTATGCCACAGGGAGCAATTCGGTAATCTTTCTCTGCCACAATTGTCATTTATGTGATCTTTTTCTGTACATGGACTATTTATGTAATATTTTTATGTATACGGACCATTTTTGTAATATTTTTCTACAAATGGACCATTTTGGTAATGTTTTTCTGTCATAAGAACCAAGTCTGTAATCTTTTTATCAAAAGTGAACATTATATAAAATAATTCTTCCACAAGGACCAATTAAGTAATAAATTTTTGTTTACATTTCCATTCATCCCATTGATGGCAAATTACACAGAATAGCAACATACTTTAATTTGGATACCAATTTATGCAATGTACTTCCTTATTTGTCTCACATAACAAACACATTCCGCCCCGCGCAACGCGCGGGTAACCCCTCTAGTTATTATTGAAATACAATAACTTAATTACTATAATAACTTTTCTTATCTTGTTGCACTAATATTTACAAATATTTTAAACATGTAGACTAAAAACATTTTAGCTTAATTGAGATCCGTTTGTAGTCAATTTTGTTACCGACAATAGTATGTTATTGACATGTTTCGTAAAACTAGCTAGTAGAAAGTTGGAAACTAAAATATATAAATTTTATTTGTGTATAAATGTTTGGCAAAAATTCATTTTAGCTTTTTATATATGTGAAATTATCGTAAAACCAAAATCTAAAAACTCTTGTTATTAAATGAACATTTTTTCCCATTTTTTTACGAACCAACCGTTGAAAGTAAAAAGCTAAAAATTCTCAACAATTCCGTTTTATTTTTTATATTTTAAAATTTAAATATAATTTTTAATTATGTATGTTTAAATATTTTAATGTGTGTTTAAATATGATTATCTTTATATTTACAAAAGGGAAATTGAGTAATCTAACCCTTATAAATGACATCATTGACAAAAATTACCTATGTTTTTTTTTGTAAATAACCACATTCTCCGGAACACATTGTTCGGGAGAGGTCTCCGGAATTCTGGAGTACAATTCCGGACTATGGTTTCGGAATACATTTTTTGTTTTCTTTTAGTATAAGTTTTGGTTTTATATAATGTACAAGTTTTGTTTTTATAAAATGTATAACTTTTGGTTTTATGAAATGTAAAATGCAATTAAAATCAACAGACAACTAATAAATACATAAACGAAATAAAGGGATTTGTCTGTAGGTCATATTACAAATACAATGTTCAAATTATCTTTGTCTTTGTACCCCAAAAAATTTCTACTAGTCATTTTCAATAACCCATAACCCATGGACTGGTTTTACCCTCTACAGAAATCGATTTCCCGGTGATCAATACCTCTAGGAACCAACACAAAAACACCCCATTACCCCCTCGGTTGTCAATCTGTTGTGGTACGTCTGGGGTCTTTTCAAGGGTTATCTTGAAGCTCTCAAGTAGGATTGAATCAGTTGGTTCGGTACCCTAGTAGTTGACTCCCACTAGCAGTTTGTGGATGCGGATTCTCATACCTATAAATCAATCCTCATTTTCCGAACAGTAGCTCCCTTCTAATGACTATCGTATATAGTCATTTTGAATGTCTTCAAATCTAAAGCACTCGAAAACCAATGAGCATGTAGTATATTGATTGGGATGTAAAACTAAAAAAAAGGTTAGAAATAATTACTTAGTATATAAATACTCAGGTAATGCAATCCACACAAAATTATACCGTATCACAGTCTGCCCAAGCTGGGTAAACGAATCCATCAGCCATGTCACTCCAGTCAAATGTATCAGTGTTGAAAGCTGATGGCACAACCGTCCACCCAGTATCATCCACTTTATGCTCTAGCAGCAATGATCCACATCATGATGTGTAGACAATAATTTTTTTTCCAGTAAAGTAAGTATTGTTATTAGAAGCGCAATATGTAATGAGTACATAATTATATTACTTACATCACATGACAACCATCCTCCATGACTATCCGCATATAACCGTGTCCAAACTCAATCGTAGCAAAACCGATCAAATAATTGTGACCAAACAACAGCGAACCATCCCGTTCTTTATATACACTGTGTACGATATGCTATAAAAGATTGTCCAACGGTACTGGTTGTTGCCGAGTAACACATTTCCTTTTCATTTGTATCCATGGGGAATTATACAATATGGACATAACTTTTTGGCTCTTAGAACGCCTAAGAGGTGCTGGTGACGGTGTTTTGTATTCATCCTGCGGAATCTCTTTTACATTCGACAATTGAATACACGGTGACGGCTACTCATGGCCGTCATTCGGTGGGTGTTGGGGTGTGTCTAACATATAATCATGCCCCCATAAGTCATTGTCATTGTAGTATGTGGTACCAGCATCTGGCACGACGAGTGTCTGTACGGTATAATAGTGTATAATTGTAAATGATGCAAAAAAATAACGACTATAAACGATGAAATATTTAAAAATGTACCTCCACCCCCTTCGAGGTACCAATATCGTCTCCGAGAGTCTTATTGATACGTTTTAGAATCATGGCTAAAGTAGCGTTATGCTCTGTTAAATGCTCATCTTGCGACTCAACTGCTCGCGACATTCACTGAGCTCATTTTTCAATTGACGAACGTCGTTTTTCAAGTCGCTAATAATTCGGTCCTTGTTGGTTGACGGGTTAGCGGCCGACAGTGGTGGTGGCGGCGGGTGAGATGGAAGCCTCCCTAGTAGGGACAGTTTTGAAGAGCCCTTTCTAGGGTTTCTGGAAGCCTCCTTTATTTAT